ACAAGAAGTCATCGACTTCTTTGCGGACGGTGAGGGGGCTGACATCAACTAGCCGTTCGGCTGTTCCCCCCTCACCAAGCCCTGATGCCATGAAATGGCGGCGTTAGTGGGACGCGAGGGTGAATCAGGTTGTTCACGTAGAAGGCGTGTAGCTGGTAATCGAATGCACTGCATTGTTCAGCACAAACGCTACGAGTGGCAACATGGCGCTCCAGCGACTCGGCGTCTCAGCTCAGACGCTGCGAAGAACGTCTTCGATGACACGATACACCTTTTCAGTTTGACCATCGGTTTTCGGATGACCCGCTGTCGACATATCCAACTTGGTGCCTAGGAATTGAAGATAGTCGCTTCAAAATTTTTCCGTGAAACGGGGGGTCTCTATCAGAGACAATCATTCTGATAGTCCGTGTTGTCGGAAAACACGATTCATGAACAGCGTTGCTGTACTGACCCCGTCGATGGTGTCTAGCACCCTCGGCGTCTGCCTGCAGAAGTGTACAGCCAATGTCCGAGCGTCACAGACGACGCTGAAAGGACATTCAGGGTCTGGCAGCGCTAATAGGCGCTGCTCTGACCGCATCAAAAGCCTCCTGATGTTCGGTGTTCCAACACCATTCCGTATCGTTTTTAAGGAGATTAGATAATGGCCGGGTCATTTCTCCGTAGTTTACGCTGTAGGGCGAGATCGGGTGATCGCGTTCGAATCTCGACAGCTTAAAGCTGCGGCGAAGAACTACCCAGTTCATGAAAAGGAGCTACTTGCCATGAAGTATGCACTTGCCAAGTTCAGGGTCCACGTGCTCGGCTCCAAGTCGTTTGTGATCTACACAGATCATGTGTCGTTACGCACTGCAAATCAGTCGCCCCAACTCTCGAGAGGATGGCTACATGGCTACCCTTCTTCGCGGATTATAACTTCGAGGTAAAGTACAAGCCGGGAAAGCAGAATGCTTTGGCTGACGCGTTGTCACGCAGACCAGACTATGAGCTTGCTTATGTTACAACTGTAACGTCGTCTGTGACGGATTTGATCCACACCGCGTATGCGGGTGATCGGATGTGTGTAGCGATGCTTCAGGCTCTAGGGGGCAAGGGGTTTGGAAACTCGGACAAAAAATTGTCATCGAGAATGCGTGCACGATTGCACCGATACTCGTTGAATAACGGCTTGCTATATTATAGCACCGATCTAACGGATACACCACGAATTGTGGTTCCTCATGATGAGAATTTGAAATATCGCATCCACTATGAGGCTGGTCACACGCCACTCAGTGGTCATCTCGGTCGTGAGAAAACGTACAACTCTGTAATCACCACTATCGGTGGTCCAAGTTGTACAAATGGGCGAGCACCTATGTGCGCACGTGTTAGACATGTCGACGGGTAGAATCCTCTCCAGATGCGGCTGTGCCGCTGGCCGGCTTCCCGGTACCCACTGGGTACTGGCAGTCGGCGGGCAACGAGGGTGTCGTGGTATTCGTCGACCGGTTGAGCAAGATGGCTCATTTGGCGGCGGTGCCAGACACATCGACGGGGTCGGTACAGCAACGCTATTCGTGGATCAAATTTTCGACAACACAGAGTCGATTGTAACTGATAGAGATCTCCGTTTCACGGAAAACCTTTGGTCGACTATCTTTAT